CCACAGTGTGCTCAGTGATGTTCGTTTGCATTTGGCTCAAGTTCTCTATCACTGCAAATCAATAACGAACCTTCTCACACTGGCAGCTGGTTCCCAGAGCTGGCCTAGAGACAAGTCCAGAAGCCATCCCCAGTGGTTTCCGATGCAGCCCAGGCCAGCAAAGTGTAACCTGTATTGTGTTCCCCTTCACAGCCCCACTTCCCTCCTGTGCTGCTGAGGCCTGGTGAGGAGTATGATCACACCACTTGGTTCAAGTTTTCTGTGGCTTAAGGAAGTGTAAAGACATGACCTACCCCAGGACCAGGCTGGGAGCCCTTCAGCAGCCGGTCTCCTGTGCAGAGAGATGAAGATTTTAGAGGCTTTGGAAGTGATCCTGTGAATCAAAATCATACAAATAGTAGCTGTCATGATAATTAGTCTGAATACTGATTTCCTTTTCCAATGGCAGGCCCCAAGCAAGGTCTACTGACCAGCTCTTTCTGTGGTCGAGGGGGCCCACGCACCAAGGCTTCATCTAAGCCCTGACGAGCCCTGAAGTGGTACCCAGGACCTTTGGGCTATGTTGGCTCCATCCCTCTACCTCTTTCTTTTCTACTTTTCTCCCTTCCTTTCTTTGATCCTACTCTTTCCTTTTCCTCCTCCTCTACCTGAAATCCCCTTGCCCTTGTGCAGCATTTTTTGGAGTTTTCAAGTCACATTAGCTCATCCAACATCCGGCAGATAGGCCTCTTTGCCTGGTAAGGCAGTGGATGACTGAGAAGCAAGGGAACCAAGGCTTGGAGAAAGCAAATGACTCATCTCAAGGCACAGCTAGGAAGAATTTTAGCCAGGACTTAATGTCAGGTCATGTGAATTCAAATCCACTTCTTCCACTTCCATCTACCAGAGCATTCCTAGGGTCACTAACAGGCAGAGATGTCTGACTCTTACACCATTAGAGCCAGCCTTTCTTCCCAGATTAACTTTTATGAGAAGCATCAGAGTTTAACTGTTTCTGAGCCTTCAAGGTGGTGTGACTTAAAAGTGCAAGACCAAAATATCCAGAAATCCGTAATTTTGATTCTCTGCCTTTGGGGTTAGGGGTTAACTGAGAAAGCCCAGCCCAGGCAAGGGTGGGAAGAAAGGAAGCCACTGGAAATGGAGCTGTCAGTGCAAGGAGAGGGCCTACCTGAAGATTGCACATTGAACCTGGAGCAGATGTTATTATGGAGATGAAGCTGGGGCTCCCCCTCTGAACAATCGAATCATCGGTGATGGGTCTGGGTTGGTGGTTTTTATAGAAATGTATCTTACACTGCTACACACTAGCAATCAGTTGAAATAAATCCAGTCTGCACCTTAAGAGGACTCGTTTCTTCACTGTTCTTTAAATCTATCAGGTATGGACCTTTGGGAAATGGACCAAGTATATGGCATGTCCTGGATACTTTGGTGAGGCCCAGCGTCTTGCTAGGGGAAAGCTACCTGGCAGCCTATTGTGCTTCCTTTTAGCAAAAATAAACCAAATATAGTGTTTATTTTTGAAATTCATTTTAGCACATATTTTGAGTATCTTTTGTGTGCAGTTCTCTGCTGGGTCTTTTTAAGGGATTCAGAAGGTAACACCTCCTATGTAGTACATTCCCTCAGGGATAGAAGTCTCTGAGGGTGACAAGACTGATAGGACTAATTAGAGATGTAAAATCACACCCTGACGGAGTTGGGAGCCCTAAGCACAGACTTGGCTCTTCGCTCCAGGCATTCACTGCATGGGTGATCTAATTTCACTTGGCCTGTTTTCTTGCCTATAAGGCAAAGGATTTAGATTTTAATTTTCTGGAAGAGTATGTCCTGCAGGACTAGAACTAAAGCTAGCCACAAGTCTAGTTCTTTTCCCTCAGGCCCTCCCTGTGGCTGTACTGGAGGACCTAAAAGGGTGGACAGCAAATGCTCAAGCAGGCCAGAGCACAGAGCACCACACGCTGGGAGCCTGGAGCTGTGGTCGTTTCCCTTCCCTGCTGGGTTTGAGCAGGCAGTTGAGGTCTGACTAGATTACTGCTGGAGCCCTGAACAGTTTGTACTTCTATCACACAGCCTTCTTCTAGGACCCTCCAGACAACTGAATTCTTACCCTACTGCCATCTTGCTTGGATTCTCAATGGCTCATTCTCATTGTATTACAATGACAGCTGTTAGGTGTGTTGGAATCAATTATTTCATCTCACTCTACAACCTATGAGATGGCAAAATCATCAAAAATGAGAGGTCACTGGCTGGAGCAACTTAACAGTGCTAGGAAGTGGCACGTTCAGAACACAAGCCCTTCAACTAGCAGCTCCAAAGTATGTTCTACTGGCCCTACACTCCAAAAAAAATTCCGTTTTTTCTTTCACAGAGGGAAAAATCTAAAATTCATAACATACAGTGTTGGTAAATGCAGAATTTTTACTCAGTCACCATTCATAGCAATTAGATTAATACAGCTTTTTCGGAGGGAAATTTTACACAATCTATTGGCAAACTTTTAAAACTCATGATCTAGCAATTCCACTTCTGGAAATATGTTCAGTTGAAATACTAGGACAAATGTGTGAAGACAAACATTCGGACAAGGGTGTTGATTGCAATCTAACTGGTAAAGCTGGTAATAACAAAAAATTGAACACAATCTAATACCATGAACACGGGAATGGAGAAATGATCATCCACACGATGGAATACTACACAGCCATTCAAAAGGATGGGATCAAAGAATCCATACAGTATTCTGTGTTTGTAAAACAAAACAAAAATGTATGTATATTTGTAAAGTTTATAAGGGTAGATCAAATTATTAACAATGGTTTCCTCTGAGAAATAGAATCTGGAGGGGGAGTGAGGACTTTTTACTTTATTGATATTGTTTAAATTGCCAAAGACAGTATCTTCCTTTTGCAGTTAAAAAACTAAGTCAGCAAAATGGGGGTTGGGAGGGTTTTTTTGGTTTGTTTAAATGATTTCAAACTCATAGAAAAGTTGCAAGAGCAGTACAAAAAATTCCCGTATACCTTTCACTCAGAGATCCCATTAAATTTCACCTGGCTCAGTAATGTCCTAGCAAAAGGGTCCAAACCAGGAGCACAAATTGAACTTAGTTTCTTCAGTTTCCTTCAATCCAACATAATTCCTCATTCCTCTCTTGACCTTTATGACCTTAATATTTTTGAGGATTGCAGGGAAGTTATTTTACACAATGTCCCTCCATTGGGATATGTCTGGTGTTTCCTCCTGATCAGGTTCGTGCCATACATTTTTAGCAGGAGTATCACTGAAATGATGCTGTGCTCTTCACACTGCAGCCCCTCAGGTGATGCACTTTCTCGGTGTGTCCTCTCACTGTTGAGGTTACCTTTGTTGACCTGAGTAAGGCTGTTTGCCAGGTTTCTCCACTCTAAAGTTACCAATATATACATTAGCCAAGGGGCTTCAGAGGTGAAATGAAGCTGAGTGCAACCCTTCTACCAGTTTGATTAAATTAATTGCTCGACGCAGGGTTGTAATATTCTAGGTGCCAGAAATCATTTAGGAAACCCTGGAGAAGAAAGAAAAAGAATATTTTCTTATTCACAAGGAAACCTAACTACAAATTAGTCCTCAGTTTTAATGGCCTTTAGGCTTGAGAATACATTTATCACCCAAGTACTCTGCTTTCCTCTGTTCTAAAAAAAGAGCTGTTTTTGTAAGAAGCCCAGTCTAAAGTAGCCCAAAGTGACGATATTCTCCTTTAGGACAGCTAAAACAAATTATTGGAATTTTTTTTTGCTCTTATTTAAGAAAATAAAAAGGCTAAATTTGATTGTCAAGCTATAAACCTCATGAAACTAATTTTATAGAGAAATTGATCTTTTGTGGCAGCAATTGGTCTATCCTTTTTAATGAAATGCACACAGAACTTTGCTTGAGAAGAGACCTTCTAACATAGTTAAATCACATGCAAAGTGTGACATCTGAGCATAATTATGGTATTTTATCACGAAGTCACAAGGTCTCTCTCAGCAAGAAACAAAATTTTACAACCTATTAACTGGACACTTTCAATTCATGTGAGGAGGCGAAAACATAGTACTCAATATGAAAAACCCCATATTACTACACAATTATTAAAGCCTTGTTGAAAATGCACTAACATGCAACACCCTTCCACCCCCTCCAATAATAAGTCTCCAGGACCCCGGAGTCCGTGCTTTCTTTACCATGCCCTCCCCTTCCCACAACCAGACTAGTACTGTACTGTTCTGAGTTCTGATCCTTCACAGGTAAGCATATCACTGATTTTAGTTCAGGAGGAACTAAAATGATAGCACTGAGAAATATCTAATACAAAAGAAGGCAGTAAAAGGAAGAAAGTAAAAAAAGATACTGTGAACAAAATGGAAATTGCAAATAGAACTGTATCAGTAACTTCATTAACTATAAATGGTTTAAGCACCCCAAAAGGCAGAGTCAGACTGAATTAAAAAGATCTAGCAACTAACTATATATTAATATCAGACAAAATATGACTTTAAGAAATACCAGTAGACACAAAAGATATAATAAAAGCATCAACATATCTGGAAGATGTAACAATTACAAATGTATGCACCTAATACACCTTAGATGCCTTGAAACATAATTGTGACCAAAGGTCATGCCTGGAGTTGCCTTAGCATTAGGCATAACCCAATAGTTCTTGTGATACTGCTTCAAATTTCCTGAACAGAATGCTAACTTTTTTCAGATGACTATTTCTCTTGAGCACAGTGACCTCTGCTAGTACTAAGATGAACCAAAATGCAGTCTTTGCCTTCTGAAGTTCCATTCCAGCATAGGGTCATTTGGTTAGAGCTGTGACAGCAATCAAACCAAGCGAGTCTGTTCAATAGGAGAGACTGAACTAGGAGCTGGCTAACACAAGCTCCTAGTTTTTAATTCTGGTTTTATATTAAAATCACCTGGGGAGATTTTTAGACTATTAATGCCCAGGCTTTACCCTGAGCAATTTCGATGTCATTACAATGTGTATAAAACTCCCCATGAGCCTGGTATTTAACTAGAGACAAGAACCATTGCCCTAGCGTAAAAGCTTTCCCCATTATTTATTGTTCTGTAACATTAACCAATATTAAGTGCCTAAATGTGGTCAGCTAGAATCTGCTCCCTAGCTTCATGAAGTACTTCAAGAATGAGATAGTGAAACAAACTTCCCAGACCAAAAGTATGTCTTCCTAAGGTCCTTGCAACCCATGTGGGTTTACACCATGTGTACAATGCAGGCAATGAAACGAACTTCATACAGGGGAAAAAGAACTTCTATACACTGCTACCAGGGCAAACTAACCATACCTAGCAAAAATATAAATGCACATACCCTTTGACCCAGCACCTCATCTTCTAGGTGTTATCCTAGATATGCAGGGTCACATAGGCAATGTATTGCACAAGGTTATTCACTGTAGCACTTAATAGTTACATTACAAACAACCCTCCTTCTCCAGTAATAGGGAACTGATTCAATTCCTATTACTCTGTTCAAAAACTCTCCTGGGAAAAAAGCAAACCCTTTCCCAAGACACACAAGGTCCTATTATGATCTATCTATATGCTACATCTCCCTCCCTCCCTATGCCATCTCTACCCACTCTCCTCCTCTCTGTTCACTTCAAATTGTCCTCCTTACCCAAGAACTCAAACCACTTCAGGACCTTCATACTCAACTAGGCCCTCTGCCTGGAACTCTTTCCCCTCAAGTTGATAAAGCTCCCTCCCTCACTTGTTCCTATCACCATCAGAGGTCTCCTCAGTCCACCTTTTATGCAACAGCAACCAGCTCCGTCCTTCTGACCCTGCCTCATTCATGTCCACATAAGTTACTATTCACCTGGTATTTGTCTTAAGCTCTATTACTCACTTTTGTATTCCAAGCCTAGCAGTACATGGCATGTTCAAGGGGCACAAAAACTTGATAAACTATGCAACTTCCAGGCAACTAAACAGTATGAAACTTTTTTTTAAAAAGTGCCATTTTTACTTATATGAAAAAACCCCAAGTTATTAAATGATTAAAGTGCATTTTTTGCGTCAAAAAAAGGAGAAAATCCCCATGCGTATCTCCTCAGGCTGCACAACTACTAGTGGTTGACTTTTGGGAGGTAACTGAGAAGCTGAGTCAGAGGTAGAGAGCCTTCTCACTGTGTATATACCTTGAGTTTATTACCAAGTCAAAAACTGAAATGGAGATGAGGTCAGTGGGAAGAGGAAAGCTACTAGATTTGAGAGTCTTGAGGGCCTAACTGTAACTGGCTACTGTATTCCACATGCTCCAGAATTATCCCTCTTAACTAGCATATTTTTCCCATTAAGTCTAGAAACGGCCAAGTTATTAACTATGGTATTATCTACAACAGGTAGGACCATGGATTGTACATTCTGGTCTTAAATCTTCTGACTTTTCCACATGGCTGTTTTAAAGGCTCAGGAAAGTACTTCTAATAAAACAAGGGCAGGTAGGATTCAAGCTTTTCTGACTTCCTACCAGGTTGATGGTACAGCATTAAATAAACCTAAGCTTGTTTCTTGTTCTGTGAGATGGGAATAACAGTATCTTATTATTGTGGGGATTAGGTGACTTAAGTCCTTTGACATTTTTATTAGAATGGTTATGAGGAATGTCTAAGGTGTGAAAATAACTATCAGGCTTTGAAACTGCCTACTGGTGCTTTTTTCCCCTTCATTTAAGATAGTACTAAAGCTGTTATATCCAGAACTATCACTGTAAACCTAGGCATCTTTCCATTTCTTGCTCACTAATTCTCATCAGCCTCCGAATACTCCAAACCCCTACACCTATTATTTCTGGTTACCTAGGCCTTTGCTTCATGCCTTTTAAGCTGTACAATCACAAACATATTCATCCTGTAGGTTACATAGCTCTCCCTTCCAAAGGTCCTTAAGCAAGTTGCCAGGAGTCAGAGCTCATGAATTCTTTGCTATTACCCTTTACTCTAACAGTCGGCTGACTTGGCTGGTTCAGAGCTTCTCATTTGTATTAACTTAGTATCTTGGACATCATCACACTCCTTCAGACTTCAAGACGAGATACACAAAAGTGAGACTCACAATCGTATACCACCATTCACCTAACCTTAAGTCTTAGTTTGATAGCATTTCAAGACCCCCTCCGATTTTCTTTGTCCTTGGGAAGAGACCCAGTAAGATGGTAGGATTATCTGCATCTGATATTTAGCTCAAAGCCTGAAGGAGAACTACCACTCTGAAGTCAAGGGTATGCATTACTTACCTCTCTATACCTAGGTAAGGACCAAGATAACGTTTTATGTTCAAAAGCACTCAGGGTCTGATGTGTTTAAAATTAGTAATTAGTCTGGACACTTTCCAAGTTAGTAAATTTAGCAGTCCCCAACCTCTTGAAAATACAAAAATGCACTTTATCAAAGTTACCATTTTAAGACATATACTAATCATGGGTAGAGTTGCGTCAAGGGTATGAAAGATGTCTGCCCACATACCCAATATTCCCTTTCCTGGAAGGGTAGAACTTTCTGTGCTCGTTTCCTAAAACCATTTTCCCACCCCTCCATATCCTTTTTATCCTTTCTTAAGGAATTTTTAGGACACTGCTAGTAATCAACCCCAAGGCTACAGGATTAATGTTAATACTCCTACCCTTAGCTCAGAACTCCCACTTCCAAAAACTGAGTATCAGGATTCTTTGTCTCTGCACATTTATTATCAAGCTTATCTTTATATAATACAGAACAATTAAAGCTGACCAAGTTCAACAAATAAGCCTGCCAGTTACACACACAGCTTTATACCAACAATGTAATTCAGCCAGTCAAAATTCCAAACACAAAACATCCAAACTTCCAACACACTAGTTTTACCACTCAGACCACCAAATTGAGGCAGACCACGATTCCAAAATGCAAAGCTATCCAGTAACTGTTGAAAAGCTTTAAGAAAATGGACAAAGGCAGATACCTGTGCCACCAGCGTTTTTTTGCACCAATGCTAGAGAATACCTCGTAAATGCTTGACCAAAAAATTCAAAATTAACTATTAACTGCCCTACTATACTTTATATTTAAAGTCTGAATAAAGATTCTACTTGCTGTAATATTCTAAGATCTACCAGATGCTACCAAAAATCTACATGAGATGTTTCTAAATTTACAAACTGCTTTAGTCTCATCAACATTTGTTTGACATCTTTAATTACTTTGCACCAGCCTGGCAAAATAACACAAGTATATGGTGGTGGGGAACTGGAAAACCTAATGGGAATTAACAGATCTCTGATTCAGAATAAGACAATCCATTTTAAAGGATATTAGAGTATATGGGCTGGAAAATTTTGCAAAGCTGGTTTACATCAAGATGTTTTATCCCAAATTCCAACAATTTTCTCAAGCATGCAAGAATTTTGGTATAATGCTGAAAATAAAAGAACATTAAGTAGAACTTTCTAAACAGGGAGTTCTAATTTGACACCATCCCGTCTAATAACTTGAAAACCTATATTCAATTAGCCTTCAGAAAATAATCTAGTTTCTCCAACATCAATTCCAACTACTTATACCACATTTAAGTTCTTTTGCTTAGTTCCTGTTGTGCTTATTTATAGCAAATCAGTGGTCCCACTAGCCTGACAGAGATCATTAGCCTAATATTTAGTAATGCCAACCCCAACAGACTAAAGCTCTAAGGGTAAAAAGGAATTTTCTGAGTGTAAGTATACACTACAGTTAATGATGTTCAAAACTTAATACCATCAAACTCTGAAAGGTCTGTATGAATGACTCCTGTAGCTTACCAAACTGAGAAGTGGTTAACAGTCAACACGAACCGAAAATCTAGTTAGAAACATTTTATTTAAATGTGCCAAATAAAAGCCCACATTTTCAGACCATAGGATGTTAATACATTCAACAAAAATTTATATTATCTTACTGCTGTGAATTTACAGAGAAATAATCCAGATCAGTTTTGATTAGATGGTTGAAATACCCTTCCTAGGTTACACTTAACAGACATCACAAATCCCTTATAATAATGTAAACAAAATAACTTTTCCCTAAAAGGTGAACTTGGGAACTTCAGTCCACTCTTTCAGGACTTGCACTTCTTCGCGGACTTCCTGATGGGGAACGACTAAAAAGAAAAACATTAGGTTTGGAACTGATTAGTGTTTAACTGAAACTTACTCTGCTGTGAATAGGTCAGGGCTAAACACAAGTTTCAATAAATTCAAAGGTGCCAAAGGTAATTAAGTTCCTACTGCAGAGATCTATATACAACTCTTTTGTCCCTGCTTAAGATTTCACTATTTTAATAGGCTCCTTGCCAAACTTACACTTACAAGATTAAAGAGAACTATTTGAATTTGGGGCAGTTTTTTTTTTGATCATTAAGTACCAACTAGGTAGATAATGATTGAGCTGCCAGATTTCAACCTGAAAATTTTTTTTTCACCACTTCAACACTTCCTTTTTATTTATCATCCCTATGTGGAAAGAACATATTTTTTAGCATGAAATTACACAATTAAAGGTACATAAAGGCTAAACACATCTTAACGTAATAATCAACTTTATGACTAAATATTTCCAACAAAATGTAAGCTGATGTTGAAGGAAAAGCAATCATCTAAGAAACTTTTTATCTAGTATTTTTTATATACAGCACCAATTCTCCAAAGAGCTCAAAGCCTGCAAAGAAGGCAATATGCAAACAAATTCTGCAGAGGCCACACTGGACATATTTGGCAACAAATCATTCAGCTTACCTTCTTTTTGGAGATGGAGATCTGGACTTTGATCGGCTGTCAAAACATGAGAAATTCTATTAAGAAAGAGCACTAACCAACCCCTTTTATAGTTACAATACCATGAAATGATTCCCCAAATTGCCCTGAGCTTAAAATGTCAGGCTGTAGTTATAGTCAACAGCCCACCAGATTTTCGCTAACAAAAGCTTATGTTTCAAAAACTGCTTTTCATAAAATAAATGTATTTACTTTATTTGTTGCATCACAACCCTTTACACTGCTTTAAGCACAGCTATCTCATAACACTTCTCCATGTGCCTATCAGTTCTAACAAGGGCCTCTTACTATAACCCCAAAGTCACAAACTTCTTTCTCACTGTAGCTTGACATTCCCTTGTCCAGAAGTCAGCCAGAATAGGCTATAGCTTGACATTCCCTTGTCCAGAAGTCAGCCAGAATAGGCCATGTATAAAAGAAGTTCTGAAATTTGGTTCATTAAATAAATTAGGGACTATATTCCCATTTAACACCTAGGCTTAGCATTAACACTGGAAATTTCAACAATTCCAAACACTTTGAACTCTTTGGATATTGGTGCCATATAACTAGAAGAGCATTAGTAAGTATTTTTACCTTACCTGCTTCTTGGTCGGGAAATAGACCTGGATCTTGATCTTGACCTTGACCGGGATCTAGATATTAAAAAAATTTATACCAATTAATCCACAGGAGTAACTATTTAAATAACTAGCTGAGCACCTTATTAGGTAAGCTGAAGCAGAGGAGCTAAAACTAAGCAAGCTGCAACTCTTGCCTTCTATCTGTGTAAGACTGGACAAATCACACTTGGAATAAGCTCTCATATCAAAATAAGGAAACATCACTTCATTTATTTTCTATCATACTCCATGAGCTGGGTTGTCATGGTTCCTGTACTTATGTACAATGCAGTATTTTTTATTAGTGTGTAGTTATTGAAGAGAAAGTATGTGGTCTTCGTTTGAGAAGGCTGGTTCAGTTTATCTTGAATCAAAGCAACCTCACATAGACCCCCGACCTAAGACTTCAAGTGATAAGTTGAGTGAGAACAAAGTTACAACCCAGTTATAAGGATTTAATTCTTGGATCATCTACAAGTTTTCATGGCTCAGAAACATCAATTTGTCACAATCAAATTAGGCTCTGACATACACATCTTGTGGTTCTGCTATCAAATGCATTAGTTCTAGGGTCCAGAGCTTTCACAAATGGACACATTTTAGAATCGCTGCCATCTAAAGACTTTATAGATTACTGAATAGCAAGAACTCCCAATAGCATTCCTTACTATTGACTCATTTGTAGTATTACCAAGTATTTTCTATAATGCTATCCATTTTTAGCACCTTTTTAAGGCTGCCTACAAAGGGAATAATAAAGGCTGATTTCTAAGTTTGATTTTTAAATTTCAGTGTCTGACTGAACAGTCCATTCACCTCCATGAACACAACTACTACCTTCAACTATCTCCCACTGTCTCAATTTCACCCCACTATTACAAAAGAAACCATTTCAACTTGCTTCTAATTCTAAATTCCTTCCTAGTTCTTATGGGCCTTATGAAGGATTAGGTGACTATCCCCTTTTGGAGGAAACATTACTTTCTTATGTAATAGATACATCCTGATTCTAGAAAAGTTTTTAGCTGGAATAATTTAAGGATTTGTGCTTTCAACAATCCTCTACTATAGCCTAACAACCCTTAAAATTTTCATTTGGGCTTTCCCTTCATCTGTATGATTAGGGTAATATCCATTTACAGGTCATGTACAAATTTAACTTTTATATGTCAAATACGTATCTTCTGAAGCATCCCCATTATGTCTTTGAGACACTCCACTGCTGTCATTAAGACGTGACAATCCAAATACGAAAAAGGGAAAGAAAGTGTTACATACTGGAAATACCTCGATCCTTTTATAGAACCAGACCTAGATCGTCTGAGCGAAGCTGATCTTGATCTACGAAGAGACACAGACCTTGATCGTCGAGGAGATGCTGATCTTGACCTAAAAATTGCATCAAGGTTTAATATTAAATCCATCTCCAAAAGTGTTATCACTTATCAAAACTTGAAATAAGGTATCTCACCTCCTTCCCCTGCTCCTGCTGCGTGAACGAGAGTATCGCCTACCTCTGGATCTTGAATGTGATCTAGACCGTGACCTATTTTTCAAGTTAGAAAAAAACAAAATGTCAGATGATAACTCGTTTTTAGAGTTTGTATACCTCTGCTGAAATCAAATCTCAAAACTATTTCAATTTAGTGTCTCATTTGGAAAAAAACTCTGGGCCTATTAGTTTTTTTTTTTAACTACCTAAAAAAAGATTTGTTAAAAGCTGAATTACATCTTAGAATTACATAATATAAAACACTGTAATGTGTATTTAAAATAAACCTTGCAAGTTTGCAGGTCGACCCTCTTTGGCCCATGGTCTAGCAGATCTAGACGATCTAGAAGTATCTATAGCCGATCGCTGCATCTAGATGTTTTCTTCAATCTAACGACGATCAAACTGACAGCCAAATGAGCCAGGTGAGGCTTGATTGACGCAAGAAGATTTTTCTAGTTGGGAATGTGGTCAATCTGGTGTTCCTCTTTCTAAACCGGAGGGGGCCCCAATTGTAAGCCAAATTTACTGTTACGGCGATCACCGTCTCAAATTTTCTGCCCTTTAAAGAATAAGGTGAAGCTAGGTGTAGATGACTCGAGGGGATCTGGCCTCTTATGCTGATCACCTCAAGGTCTAGGAGGATCTTAATTGTCGGATTTGCAAGGCGCCTCAGCATGATATCATAAGGCTCGTGACATTCTGAATCAAGGCGACTGACTCAAACGAAGAAACCTGAAAGGTTTTGACCAGGTTGATTATTAATATATTAACATTTGTTTAATTAAACAAAAACTGTAAAATACACCTGTACAATTAACATTCAAGTTTATAGAAAAATACTAGTTTCTGCCTTGCTAATAAAAGAATTACTTGATTAACTAGTATACCAACCATTCCTTCATTAAATACCTGCTTCTTCTTCGCCGGCTATAGCGATGACAATCATAAGCATAATGTCCCTTTTCGCCACACTCATAGCATCTATCATTGGGATCAAAGGGACGTCGGGCAGGTGGTCTATCAAAACGAGATCTCCGAGGCATGCCTGTTGATAGTTCAACCCTTACACGGGAACCACAGATCACCCTACAAAAAAAAGGGGGGTGGGGGCAACAAGATTCTAATGTGGAAAGAAAAAATACATTTGACTTCTAGCTTTAGAGCTTTCCAACCACTTCTGCACTCAACTTAAGCTATCTTCACAAGCTCCTCCCACCTCCAACTTTGTTCCCCGTCTTAATAAATTCATGATTAGCTATTTACACTCTCCTCCAGACCATACTGAGTTCAGCACGTAGTTCGCTACCCGGCCTAAGAGAATATTCCAATGAACCCAAGTTTCACAACCCACATCTTACTTACTTCCCATCCAGGCCTCGCACAGCATCTTCTGCATCTCTAGGATCTTCAAATTCCACAAACGCAAATCCTGGAGGATTTCTTGCAATCCATACAGTTCTTAAGGGACCATAATAACTGAATGCCCTTTCTAACTCTCCTTTGCCAGCACCAGTTCCCAGGTTACCAACATACACCTTGGTTTCTGTTCAAAAACGCAAATGAAAGAACGTACATTATGCACAATTTGACTTTGTTTTAAAGAATTCTTTGCCTTAAAACAGGCCATCCTTTAAGACTGTGCAAAGCACGTTTAATGCTCTAACAAGGGCTGAATTTAGTCTTCAAAACCAGCAAAACCCGTGAAGTTTTTGAAAAGCCTGGTGTACGACAAAGCCTTAACATTCTCGGAAGGAGGAAAAGCCTCCAGAACACCAGCACAGATGCGCGGTAGGATATTCCGAGGCGTGGGGCGGAGCTGGGGCGGGGCCCGCCGCGGCCCCACCCCCGAGTCCCGGCAGCCCCAGGCGCGCGCGGGCCGGCGGCGTCGGCGGGCCGGGAGAGCAGGGCTGTGCCGGCTTGTGTCCTCCGCGGCAACTGCCCCAGGCGCAGGTTCGCCCAAGATTCCAGCTCTCCGCCCCAGAGCCATAAACCGCGCTCAAAAGAGCTAAAAGAGAAAAAAAAAAACAGCCGCCAAACGAAAATATCACGTCTGCATTCCCATTCCGCAACTCGACCGATTGACAAGAGAATGCACAGCTCGAAGCCGTCACACTTTTGATCAATCTCAACTTCACCCTTAATAGCACGGCAGCAACCAGACCTGCGGGCTAAAGTGGCGGGAAAGCGCCAGGGAAATGCGCCACCATGGTCGCCAATGTGCGCAAAATGGCAGCCGAGAGCGGGGGGGCGTGGGGGACTGGCGGGCGGCTCCAAGAAGGGCAACAGGAAAACCCTGACCCCTGCCGCCCTGGGCTGTGGCAGGAGACGAAAATGCCCCAGAATTACCACGGAACCCAGCACAGACCTATACCCGCCACCCACCGCCTCCCTTCAATACCCCGCCCCCGCTGCCTCCAGCTTCGTGTGGCGTGTGCCGAGGCCGCCATTACGCACGCGGGAATAACCGTCTCCCAACTCCCGCGCCAACCCCATGGCCTCGTAGTCCCCACTACATCCACGACAAAGGCCCTCACTAGACCCGAGCTGCTTACCTCCTCCGTACCGCCCGTAACGCGACATGATGACTGGCCCGCGAGCTGATCTTCTAGCTCGCAGGACCAACGAATTGAAAAATATAATGCCCGGAGCTCCGCCTCGCGAACGGTCCCGGCGACACTACAAGGAAAAGCCTCGGTTCGCGTTTATATATGGGGCGGCTGGGTTTCTTTGCGCATGCGTCATCTCGACGTTCAGCGCGGCACAAAGGAGCTGGGCGGAAACAGTCAAGAAGGGGCGCGGAAGGAACTGAAGAAACTGAGATCCCGATCATGGCGGAGGGATACGTTTCCACGGCAACGCCACTATCTCGCCAGTAAACCTTTGTCTTTCCCCTGTGGTAGTCCGCGCCCTTCCCTCCCACTTTTCCTTTACCCTTCTCATTTTCCTTCCCTTCTTCCTCCCCCCTACCAAATCTAGAGATCGCAGCTGTAGTTATCTTAATGCAGGTGCATTACACCGGCCTTATGAAAGGTTGTAAAATGTAACCGCTGATATTGCAAGCTGTCGTCGCTTTTCTTTATGCTTGGGTACCTGCCCCGAACTACTCACTGATTTCGGGGGCTCATCAAAGGTAATCGGGAGTTTCACCAGGGTGAGAACTCCGTGAACCCCGCCATTCTGAGTAGTGATCTGCACCATGGGCCTCAAAAGGGGTACTCCGCAGGGACCGCACGCCCTGCACCGATTCTCCAGCCCCTGGAGAACCAGCCACCAATTTTCACCAACACGGTCCGAGTTCTTGTAGTCTAGGAGACAGAGGAATAGAGAGTTCTTTTTTCCGGTTATATTGAAATTATGAAAAAAATCCCAAATCCTTAAAGCATTCCAGCTAGTGGCAGTTCTGAAATTGTTTGCATTTTAAGTGCAAAGTAATTTATGTGTGCTTCCTTTCTAGTGGTTTCTGCCTTGTATTGTAGTAACCCATCTTATCCACTATAACTCAGACCCTGAGAACTGGGACTTACCATTTAAGTCCTCTTAACAGCCTTGCTGCTCAGCCACTCACTCAAATAAATGAAAACCTTTTCTTTACGACAGAATCATTAAAATCCAGTTTTGATTTTATACAACCTATTTGCCAAACACCAACTCTACAAATACAAGTTTAACTTTTTTACCAGCAACAACAACAAAAAATTACATTATAAGTACTTGGAATATACTATTTGGAATTGTTTCACATAAAAGAGGAAATTCTTAGGTATTTGTATTTTTATCTTTCTCATCTGCTCTATCTTGATGCATATAGATGTGGGATATTGAGTAGAGGAGACAGGAGGCTTAGTTGGTTAATAAAGTATGGATTCTTTCAGGGTAATACTACAAACATGTAAATATTTTTTGGATTTATCAAATTATGGAAAGAATTAGTTTGTCTCAAGAAAATACAAGTTTTATAGGATATATTTATTTTCCCTGAGTTCTATTGATTTTTGTT